TGATTTTTGCCTCGCTGCTGACTTTCTAGCCTCCTGAGGCACCATTATGAATAAAACATTACGGAAATCTCGGATTTGGAGGGTCGCAGATGTCAGTTGAATCTACCTACGGTATCGCGTGTGTTACATCCGGCACATGAGTTTATTTTCGGAGTAGCAACACAATTAACATATATGTGCAGAACAACACTACCGACAAAGGCAAGGGAGACTGGAACGGCCACTTTTACCTTGTTAGCCGTCATCAGCCAGCCATTCCCAAGCCTGACGTGTCCAACCCTCAAGGCTCGAACTGGCAATCTGTTGGTTAGAAGTCCAACGCTTCAACTACTTAGCCACGGGCTCTTCAACCACTCCGATTTCACATTGCTGGGACTTGCCGTAATGCCACGTTATGAAGCAGGCACTGCGGTCCGATTCCCAGTTCGAAGGACCTCTTTGACAGTCTTTTAGTCCACGAAATTCATGTGTCATGCTCGTTTGAAGGCATGCCATATTCACCATTGGGAAAAACGTACACACGACGAACTCATTTTCTCATGTCTCATTGGCAAGTACGAGTCGAGCCGACCGTATACGAAATCCATAGCAGTTACTTACGTTGTGTAAAGCAGCAGTCTTACGTGTACAGCATATATTTACGCCCATTTAGGCCTGACGGATCATCACTGTTCACTTTGATTCGTAAACTATACCATACTGGGTCCTATACTGTACTGTATGCTCTAGTTTATTCTGCAGGCCACTAGCTTCGTTATCAGCTAGAACGATCTGGTGGTCCAAAATGTCGAGCAGGTATTGGATGCGCCCCAACTACCACAATCACTGGGTTAAATTGTGGCTAGCACAAGGGGACGAAAGACCTTAGGATGGTGGTTTCGCTCTGCACAGAACTCTAATTAGCTATCTCAGGTGGTGATGCTGTTAGTGAGACCAGAGCGTGTGCTAACAGTGTGAAGTCATGTCTGAAAAGGAGGAAGACCGTAATATCGGTTGGTCTTACCAGTGTATGGTCGCAAGTTCACAGGACTTGTCTCTTAGCGGATTGTTGCATTACAGGACGCAAGAACGTGCTTTATGCCCCTCTCGCAGTAGGCCAGACTGTGAGGTTGGCGGGTTTGCGAACGCCGGCGGAAAGGGCAAATAACCCTGACGCGGCAAGGTCTTGAATGATGACCCCGAATGACGTAATGATTGCTGTCGGCCACAGACTGATTGTGGACGCCGCTTATAAATCAAGTGCCTACTGCATAGCCTGAGCAAGTATTCCTTGCTTCAAACGAATTGAGGT